ATAATAATTTTCGTCCAAATCGCAAAACTCATTCAATTGTGCTGGAAATGGCACATTAAAATGGAGCTTGAATTATATTTTCTTTGGGTACCCTCAGATTTCTCAGAGTAGTCTAGTTTCTCCAGGACATCAACTTGAATGGACAGGTCAAATTTTCGGCAAAAAGTGTTCGGGATTTCGATGCGTTACCTTATGATGAATAGCAATATTACGCGTTAAACGAGTAGTTGTTAACACAATATTACGCGTTAAACGAGTAGTTGTTAATATATGCTGCTTTGAATATTGCACGAGTTGTTTGACATGGCTAACTAAAAATAATTATACTGTTAGCCAATAGATAAAAAGCTGGACATAATGATATCAATTGCTACTATCCAAGTCAGCACAGTCGGTTGCTCCAAAACACTCAACCAAAAATCATACCGCCACATCAAACAACGGAGTGATTTCTGCTTGGACTGTAATGCGTATGATTGGGATACACTCGTATTGTACAACAGTACGCACAGTAGGAGCTTGAAATGTACGAGTACTTTGCACTAAATTGAACTTACTTTGTTACTAAATTTAGTAACTACAGGATTTATTTTGGATATCGCGCACACATAACCTAAACTTGGAAGTACAACACGAATCCATGCACATTGTCTTGTGTACTTGCAATGGACTGCTACAGTAATATGTACAAATGTACGTACGTTGTGAAAGCTCTAAGATTCTATTGTTATTCTTTCGACTTCACTTGTCGAACTCATCTCACACTTACTAAAAAAGAGATAACTTCTAATGCGATGGCTGGTTGTCGAATGCCTTGTACGAATACATTTGTAGTGTATGCGTTGCTCTGCTCTTTTTTTTGCGTTTGCCGTTGCGTGTACTTCTTTGCACTGTACATTCGTGTGTTCAATCTGTTATGAATGCAGATGTTAACCACGATGTGTTTATGACGCGGAATCGTTGGTTTTGGCCTGTGTAAACCCGTCTGGTTAAACACGTGAAGTTTCAGCTCTTCTTTAAAGATATACCTTGCAAGTACATTTGATGTTATAAACACAACAACGAAGTTCTTTCATGGCTAGGATTTTGAAACATGTGTACATTGCTACGAACTGATCGATCTTCTTCATTTTGTAAACACGTACAGCACAGTATTGTCCTGTACTAGTATGCTTAAGAAACTTGAAATTCGAATTCGACTTGCAAGAATTCAATAGCAAGGGTAAAAACAAAAGCATGGAAATTTTACTAGAAGTTCATGCACGCATAATAACCGACGACCGACCTCCATGGTTGGGTATATAGATTTAGGTATGCACACAATGTTACATTGAACTTTGCTTCAATCCATTGTGTAACACAGGAGGGAGGAATGTTCAGTCCACCGCCGCAGGAATTCAAGGCTTTTGAGCATACTAATCAATGTGTATAATTTCGATCGCGTTGTGTGGGAATGCGATTTTATTCCCGCACGTTCTTAAAATAAGGACGCATCACTGGACAATTGCCTTTTTCCATTCCACGGAAACCTAAACTTTAATTATCGGAGTTGATAAATGCCCCAGGCGCTGTTTTGTACCACACTGTATGTACTTTAAGTTACTGTACTTCTTTATTTCGACGGGATTGTGGATTTATTCCTGGTGTAGGATAGATACTGCACGCTTAAATGTGATTCTTGGTGCGATGTTTTCTCTATTTATTATGACTAGAGTATATTTGCAAACTCGAAGCGAGCTTGAGACGATCGTATTTGTACTAATAAATATTTATTCAACACAATTACTGAGTGGTGATGCAGTTTTTTGATATTTTGATGAATTGTATGTTGTACGGTTTGATTACTGCAACACCTCCGATGGAGATAACTGACAACACCAGTCTATCCAGCGAGGTATAACAACACCAGTCTATCCAGCGAGATATATACATCCTTGATTGGCATGTGCAATTGACATGAACTAGTGTGCATTGACCGTTGTAATATTATTGGCCGAACGAGAGTAATCAACGGCTTACAAACGCTAAAATTGATCTATGTGTATGCATATGCGAACGCCACGGTTCGAATACGAATACATTGCATATCAAACACACGTAAAATCAACTGAAAACACTTGTAAACAACACTGTCATGAATGCATGCCTGCCAAACATCTCGAAAACACATAAAAATAATATCAATCGTGGTTTCTATACCAAAAACTGAAAGGTAGCTGAATTCAAAATAGTTTTCTTGTATTCCACGTACGTCCTATCAACACACTCGTTTCAACACCGGTCTTGATAGCGCCGTGCATAGCATACATAACGCGACCAAGCAGCAGTGAGTGGTCGACTAATTCACGTCGATCCGATAATGCGATCAAAGTGGAACAAATTTGTGCCAACTGTGTCCCGACCAATCGCCGCCAGAATGTACATATAGCAGCAAATCCGATAGTTGAGTATGTCACAAGCACGTACACGGCCCGCGTGGACGAGTCCAGGGGGTTGGCGCCGGTGGCAATTATGTCTGGGCTGTCCGCGGCTGAACAGCAAAGTCCAAATGGCGGCGTTCATCTCGGAAAAACATAGCCCTCCATGTGTGAGCTACTAGTTAGATAAAATTGCGACTTCACAGACACGAACTCCAAAGCAGTGCCATGATGTAGAATCATTTAGAGTGAACGCTGCAACTATTGTCGAAGCACGACGCTTGTATAAATTCGGAATATACAAGGAATTATTAATATCACTTGGGTAGTTCCACATACTAATTCCAAGTATTCAAACATAGTAATCCAAGCATGCTCACATTGATCAGTTGTGGGCAACGACGGATGCTCTGAAGAGGTACAGGGTGTCTGTACACGACACACTGGCCGCGTTTGGTTGGACATCGACCATAGCAATTCCTTGTTCATTGGTGTGGACAACGACTATAACATCAGAACACACACGGAGCTTCTGCCGGCGGCTGCGTTTGAGCATCTTGTGCCGCTTGCCTTGACTGGAAGTGGTGACGATGGTTTACACACGGAGGAGGCATGATCGTCGTTAGCACAGTCTGGACGTTTCTCTTGTGTGTCTTATCAAATGCTTTGCGCAACGGTTGAGTCTTGGTCATCACGATTTCTCCAACCGACGGAGGCAGTAGTGCCCTGTGTGTTAGTCAATCTTGTTGGTGTAAAATCTTGATTCTACGAGCAGATGTTGTGTGAGGCTACCATTCAAGCAATGCATGGTATTCTCTGCTTTACGTACCGCGAACTCGTTATCAAATCTTTCGCGTGCAGCCAGACTTCACGGGCGGGAGTTGCGGGTCGTCGTAGTTCGGGAGTTGCTACACCCGCGTCATGTGTAGCATCAGCAAGGACGGCCAGTTCATCGTCAGAGTCGTCGTCGGAGTCACCAATAATGAACATGGATGTCGTCGGTGGCGAGTCTCGCGGACTGGAGCATTCCTTTCTTGGAAGACGTTTTGAGAGACCGATGTCGGATTGAGACTAGCGTACCGGCTCATGGGAAGTGCTGGCTTGACTGAGGCACGACGCTGCGAGGCGTCGGGACAGCGACTGGAAAGTTGAGCTTCTGACTCGTGTTGGTAGCGATCCGAGGTGACATTAGCTGGCATCTCCAATAACGCTGATGTCCGTCCACAACGGTGCGGCTTTACTGTTACTCCAGTAACTCACACCGCTCGGACTGACTAATTAAGGTAATTAATTTAATGTATTTCCGCCAATACAAACACCAAGTAAAAGTACTAGTAATAATACAAACACCAAGTAAAAGTACTATTGTGCTTTGCACCTTTTTTGGCAATTCCAGGGTTAAATTCATTGTTTAGGGCGGAGTGTTGGAAACGCTGCTGGAGTTGGGCGCTCGAAGCATGCTGGCCAGCAAAAAAGAGAAAGATACCCAACTGCTCGGTGACATCGAGGTGACGCGTGTTGGACAAGCCACCATGAGTGCTGAGTTCATGTGCCAGCGCCCTGAAGATGACTTTCGGCATGCGAAAGTTTTCAACGAAAGCGCTTTCGTTTCCTTGGAGCATCTCGTTCATCCACTGCGACCCGGAGAGTATGGACACACGCTTCGGTGTCTTGACAACGTAGGACGCGTAGTAGTATCGGCAGTACTGCAACAGGACATCTCTGCGGCGGCGCATGACCCAACGTCGAATGAAGAGAGCGATGATGCGCCGGTTCATGGTGATCTTTGCGCGCCCAAAATCCACGTCTGGATTTCAAATTGTTGTGGCATCCAAACAGCACAACCATATTTTTATTATTTTGTTTTGAAACTCCAATTTGAAACGGGATTTTTCTTCATCTTTTTTATTTAGCAAATACGGCGCCAAACCCGGCCTTAGCAAATAAAACTTGTGGCATCCAAACCCGGCCTTAAAAATTAAATAACGGCTAATGTAACTTGAATACCGGTTGCGTGCATTGTTTAACAGTGTAAAGTAACTTCATCTAATGCGATGATTGGTTGGTTGAAGGTGGTTTTACAGGCACTTTCGTAAAACAAGTTGTTTGCCGTTTTCATTTTCATTCTGGCAAACAACTTCTTTTACGTCAAGGTCCTTGTAGGGATATAGTTAGGCTAGTCGTCACTCTGCCCAATGATTCAAAGCTACGCCATACACCTACAACACTTGATCTGTACTAACGTTAGTACTGTACGTGGAAAGCAAGGGCTCACAACACCTACACGATGTATAATACTCCCATTTCACATCCTAATACGGTATGCATCGTGATGAACTGGTGGTTCCACTGCGTAAGTTGGCCTGGTGGTGCTGCAACTCGATTAGTTGGCGGCTGAAATAAAGTATGGGTTGTTTTATTCTGCTGAAATGCATAACTTGGGTTTAGCGTTGTTTTATCTTCAATCGGACCTATATTGTTTTAAACGTCTGGTTGTTTAACGCAGTTAAACAACGGGCAAATTATATGAAAAGCACATTCTCCCGCTTTTACCGGACCTGTCTGTATCTTGGAAGTCGGATGTTTTGCCGGACGGATTGTCCTGTCTGTATCTTGGAAGTCGGATGTTTTGCCGGACGGATTGTCCTGTATTTTCCAAAGAACGAGTTATTCTTATTTGCAATTCCCAAGATAATCCAGCGTGAAGAATGTTTTCGAGGAAAATACCGGACCAATTGTCTGGTTGAACCTCATTGGCCATAATACATGGAATTTCAGCATAGTGTTTCTTTACGTGATGCGCGCCGGTTCATTTCTCGACAGTGCACGCGCCGCGAACGTCCGAAGACTATGGACTCCGGGATGAACGAGAACCGGCAACACGCGACGCTCGACAGCCTCATCGACAACCAACTTTGGGAGAGCACCAAGATCTGCTACAATAGCAAGCTGAACTAAGTCGTCGAGTGGGTCAAGGGCCAGTCCCGATACGAGCTCCTTAAGGACGACGGCTCACTCGACCTCAACAACTTCCAGTACTCGGACTTCATGGACTTTGCCGTTTGGAAGTACAAGCACTCCAA